AAAATGTCACTTAGAAAAGTTGGGTCTGTTATCAATACATTAGCTTTATTTAATAAAACAATTGTTGCGTCGTTTTCAATTAGTAATTTGGTTATTGTTAAATCAATATTTCTTATAATAACTTTAAAATGTTGAGAAAATGATTGAAGTACTGATATTTGAAATGCCTTTTTTGATAATGAAGAAATCCATAATGTTTGACATAAATTAATGGTTGAGTGAATATTATCAATTTTATGAATTTGACTTTCTTCTGAAATCGTTATATTAACTCTTCCAATAATTAAATTATTAATTTGAATATCTGTTAATATTAACCGTTGAACTGTAAATTGATGTGATGGTGTTGTAATTGTATTATATTCTCCCGTCAAATAGAACGTACTATCTCCATTTAAACTTGAAAGATCCATATCTCCTCCTTTATGGGGACAATTTGGTTCAACATAAATAGTAGAATCATTTCCATAAATTATAGGTTGATTATTAATACTTGATTTTACTGTACAAACAACTGTTTTACTATTTACAATCCATCCATATATTCCAATAACTAATAGAATAATCATTATCCTCAGTTAGTTTTATAAGAAATGAAAGTTCTCTATTTTGTTTGTTACTTTGTTTTTTTTTTTAATTAATTATTTATTTAATAAAAAGTACTCTGAAAGTCTGGTGCATAACTTCAACACATCTCATTCTGTCGCACTATTGTGTCGTCATCGTACATTTTTATTTTTTCTTTTATTATTTTATCAAAAAGTGATTATATGAAAATATTATTATGGTTGAATAATGGTTTAGTAATGATAATGTTATTATTTTAAATTATTTTAAATTATTTTAAATCTTCAAATAAAAACATTGAAATTATCTAAATACAATTCTTTCAAAAGTTTTGAAGTTATTTGTAATTTTACTTTGTTTATGTAGTTAATAAAAATTGCCACAACATATTGTTTATAAAGGTTTTCACATATAAACCATTTTTGAGAAAGAAGAACAAACTCAGATGTAGTTTTTGGTAATAACCTTCAGGAAGATACATCTATTTAAGATTCATTGTATTTAGTTAATTAAATGGTTTCTACTGTTCATCAACAATAACAGTACTATTTGATGATAAGTATTAGTTTACTGATACTAAAATTAAGAATAATAAAACCATTTTCTTATTCAAGACATTACAATAAATTCTTTTGATTGAGTATTTTAAATACATTCTTTTTATTTTTTTTTCTTAATGTTCCAATTTGAAGAATTGAAACAATAAAATCTCCTTAAATACAAGAAATTATCATATCCCCATTTGTATATATTCCCAAAGAATTTGTATTTAATTTATTTCTTGAAAGAATTTCAAATAATAAAAATTTGAAGGGGATTTAAAAAAACAAAATAATAAAAAATAAAAGATTTTTTGTTTTTAAAAATACTTATGTTTTATCAAAATAAACACATTCCTTTTTATCTATTGAATCATTAAAATATCTATGAAATAATGTTTTTAATGTTTTTAGAATTTATAAAACAATATTTTGAGGAATAAATTATTATTGAAATTGATTATTTTTTGAAAAAGAAAATGATATTTTCTTAAAAATTATTTTTGAATATCTTCAAATACTTTGAATAAAAAAATGATAATTGTTTATATTAATCATTTATTTCTAATTTTTTATTTTCATTTAATTAATTATAATATTATGGTTAGTGACCATTCTTTCCATGCTAGAAGACCAGATATATATTATCAAAATATGAAAGAAAAGAAAGGATATATTATAGATGTAGCTATATGTCAAGATAATAATTTAGAATTAAATTATATTCATAAAATAAATAAATACAAAGAATTACAAGAGAAATTAAGAAACAATAGAGAATTAATATATGTAGAAATAATACCTGTAATATTATCAATAAATGGATTAATACATAAAGAATCAGCAAGAAGATTAAAAACACTAAAATTACAATTACACTTCCCCAAAATCCTACGAACAATAATAATAAAAAATATGAAAGACTTAATGTTTTATACAGGAAATTCTGGCAGCACATTAGAAGAAGAACAATCTAATGCGAGCATGTCAGAAATGAACTCTATTACAACAATAGAGTATATTGAAGAAACTGAAATAATCACTTCTCAATATGAAGAAAATCCAATTGAGGATATATTTAATAATTGACCTTTTTTTTTTTTTTTTAATTAATTATAATATTACTTTTTTTTTAATCACAATTTTTCAATTTCTGTCTATTCTAATAGATAGTCTTAGTCTTTACATTAAGTATAACTAATTATATGATTTTAATTAATTGAAATACTTGAAATGGAATTTTATTATTTATCTAATCCCTTTCATTCATTTAAATTAAAAAATTAAAGTCTATTGTATTTTTTCTTTTATAAAACAACAACTTTACTCAATTTCTTATTATGTTATTCTTTTTAAAAAATAAACACTTTTTGTTACAAAAACATCTTTTTAATCTTCATTTTATGACATAACTGATTGAAAATTCTTTTCAATTTTTTTTTTCTTTCTTTAAAGAAGAAAATTACCACATTCATTAATTAGAGAAAAATATGATAGAATCTCTAACCCTTATTGAACAATATACTTTTTATATTTCTTTTTGTTAAATATTCAATTCTCCCAATTACTTTATTAGTTCCAATGGATCATTGCCATTTAATAATTTCTTTAAGTAATTTTAGTTCTTCTTCTTTAAAGATAGAAGAATCAGTCTTTGATAATAACATTTAAATACATAAATTCAAGACACATTAAATAAACATTTAAAAAAAAATTACAAAAAAATATAAAAATGAAAGAACTTTAAAAAAAAGAAAAAACTTAAAATTTGAAATTTTTAGTAAATTGAAATGTTCTCATTCTTTAGACGACCAAATAATTCCTTTCCATTAAACGTTAGCAAATATGTCATTACATGTAATCAAAAGAAAATTGAACTTCCATTATTTGAAGAATTTTATGATGAGATTTATGTGTCTAATCCAACAGATTTTGAATATGCTTTTATTTTAGATTGGCCTAATCATCAATACACATTAATAGCAGAACCAACACGTGCAATTCTTGGACCACACACTGGTGTAAGTATTGGAATAACTCTTAAATTTTTATGTTCAACAAAAAATTATTTACCAATTAAGTTATGTTGTAGTGAAGGTGAAAGTGTAGATAAACAAGCACCTCAATTCACAACCCAAATTAAATTCGGTATTATTGCTCAAGAAAGTGTTGTTTTTGACGTTGAAACAATCACTAAATTTGATACTATTAAAACAACTAATTCAGGAGAAGTATCTACCGCTTTATTTAATGGAAAAGATGTTATTATGAAACATTTCAATATAGACTGGAGTAGTGAAGCACGTGAAATGTTTGCTAAAGCAGCAAAAGAATTAGCTGATATTCAATGTCCACAACTTATTAAAGTTATTGGTGCAACAGTAGCTCCTGGAAGAGAAGCATTTATTATTGAATATGCAAAATTTGGAAATATTGCTACTTGTTATCGTAGAGAAGACTTACCAATAAAATGGATTAAAAAAGCATTTAGTGATGTAATGACAGCAATCAAATATTTACATGATAACAATAAAGTTCATGGAGATATTAAACCTCAAAATTTATTAGTTTTTTCATTAAATAAAAAAGATGATGTTATATGTAAATTATCTGATTATTGGAATATTCAACAAATAACAGGAGTTTCTTCAGATATTATCACTGATGATGAAATGATTTCTGTTGCTATTTTCCAAGCACCTGAAGTTCTTAAAGGAAAAGAACCTACTAAATCTTCTGATATTTATTCTCTTGGAATGTGTTTATTAGAAATCTTTCAACAACATGAAATCTATCAAGATAAACCATTTGTTAATGGTTGGGACGCTGCTGTCCAAGTAGCAAAAGGAAAACGTCCTAATTTCGATCCTGATTTTAATGAACAAATAGCCTCAATTATAAAACAATGTTGGCAACAAGACAAAGATGAACGTCCATCAATTGATGAAGTGATTAACCAATTCCAATCCATTAAATTCTAATTTTTTTATTCTTTTACTTTTTTCTAGTGATTCTCTTTTCTGTTTTTTATCAAAACAAATGTTTCTCATTCATCGTCATTAACTTCAAAAGTATTTTAATTGATTTAACTAAACAAACAAAAAAATATAAAATTAATTGATAAATGTATCAAGAATTAATGTTTATTACAAAGAAAATTAATAAAAAATCAAATGAAAATAAAATAAAATCAAAGAAAGACAAAAAATGGGATGAAGTTATTTAATGGAAAGAAAAACTTCAATAAAAAAAACATAATTCAAAGAAAACAAAAAGTGAAAGTTCAATGGAATTTGTTAAGAATAGATTCTTGATAAGAGTTAAAAAAAATACTGTCTTGAAGGAATAATTAGGGCAGTTATTAATAACAAGAGGTCGTTAAAAGATTGAATTTGAGATGAAATGACCAAAGTTAATAGTTTAAACCATTCAAAAATTGGAGTTTTAAAGATTTATTAGTGAAATATTTATAGAAATGAAGGAAAGATATTCGATACATACGATATTCGAAATGATATGAATGAATGAATTCGATTTCAATTGAAATTCATTAGATGAAAAGAGAACGAGTCTAAAGAGGAGAAGAGTATTTAAAGAGAAAAAAAAAATAGATAATAACATTCTAAATAAATGAGCACAAGTTCTAGTATTGAAGAAGAAGTGTTCAATTATATGAAGATTATAAATAATTTTGTTTCAGTTGGGAATATTATTGTTTCTCTTTGTTTTATTCTGGCTTTGAGAGGATTATCAACACAAATAAGTGCAAAAATGGGAAA